CACACACACACACACACCATTCAATAATTGCAGAAATTCTGATGAAAAAACTCACAGAAACATGTTTTCAGATGAAAATGGAAAAGCCACTTGAACAAAAACACATTAGACGATTACAAATATTTACACATATCAGCAAATAAACTTTATAAAAAATAAAAATAAAAATAAAATATGACCATATGAAAAGTAAGCAAATAACCTTTAGTCATCAAGGTAACTGGGTTGGGTGAAAACTGTTTTTAAACATAGGATTTAGTTCATACGGGAGAAACTGAATCCAGATCTATAGAACATTATGCAAAATATTATACAAAAACATCTGGAAAGTTTGCGTTTCCCATAATACTTTAATAAATTACTAACTAAATACATTTTGCTATACAAAATACAATACCCTAGTCACCTGGAGGCACTGCATTACTTTCTATAACTATGGTTAAAAATGCCCAGTGAAAAGCTGAGGCAATGTCTGCCCATTTATTCTCAACCCAAAACAAGGATGTATTGTTTTCTCTAAAAGGGAGAGTAGAGGAGACAATGAATGATCTCTTCCAGAAAAACAAAAACAGCTCTGTTCATTTGGTTTTTGGAGAACAGAATGGTATAAATGATGTGCACGATCTGCCTTCATATGATCCATTAGCAACGCTTTCATCAGCACTGGGAGTATTCCTTGAATGATCTGCAGGAACTTAATTGCAGAGAGTGGCTACTTCTGGCTTGGCCTGGCTTTTCTGCTAATCACACAAAGTGAAGTCAATGATCAGCTTAATGTCTGGATTATAGCCATGCAGCAGCAGCATCCCACATAAGTTATACAATTAGAGAATGGATGCTTGGAGGAGTGAGGAGAAGAGGCAGAGTGGAGAGGGAAATGATCAGGTGAGGCAGATAAAGGCAGGAAAGGAGGCAGAGAAAGCTGGCAGACAGCCAGATGTGATCGTCTTCCTGAACGTGAACAAACGCTGCCTCATTCCCATTTATTCTGCACATTCTGTACATTCAGGGTTTCTCACCCAGCATGCATCACTGATCGGATAATCTGACAGTCTCAGCGACAGAATACAATTTAGAAGCAATGTGAAATAATGACAAAGCATAGTCATCCACATAACTTACATGCTGCTGATTTATGTATATCCCCAGCAGCAGACACCAGGAGCAACTGACAAGCTGGAAGTGATAAAAGGGTTTATTTTGAACCCATCATACCCGTCACAGCAGGTGCTGCTGGCAGTTCCTCCTCCTCTACTTCCATCTCTACTTCTTGGGGTTTCTGGAACAGCACAGCAGCACTGGAGGAGTCTCTGCTCACATTTTCAAGAGGTAAGTTTTCCCTGCTGCTTTTGGCCTGGGGGTGTTTGGATGCGGAGGCAGAGGACGGGACGCTCTGGGCTTTGCGCGATCTAACAAACTCCACCAGTCTAGGATCTTGGAAGCAGAAATAATCATGTTATACGCAGTGGTACCAACAAAATACAATAAAAAAACATAATGTCCTCATGTCTATATATGTCATATAAACAACACCATCGCCTACCAAGCTGAGACAGGAGTTTCCTCTGCTCCTGTAGTATTTCTGACTGAGACATTGCCTGGAGTTTAGCCTGGTTCTCCCTGTGGATCCTTATGGTCTCTCCTGAGCTACCACGGCCCTCAAGCCCCTGACCAGACACCAGCCTGGGACCTGAGGTTGCAGTCAGCTCTGGTTAGTGGAGAGGAGCAAGAAGACAAAGAGAAAAGAAAACAATAATGAGAAGAGGGGTTTCTGTGGTGAAAGAGAAAGGAGACATTTAGAATAATAGAGCTGAAGCCTTACGATCATCTGTATCCATACTGGTTTCAGGAGTCTGAGCAGCTTCGGGTGCGCAGTGTAAAGGTGTGTTTCCCTCCTTAACTCTCTGAGACGCAATCTGACGTGCAAAGATACTCTTCTTTCCACCAGCTGAAGACAGTGGAACCTGGCCATAAATATGAATAAACTTAAAAACTGATGATGAACGCAAACTATAAAACACTAAATCTAAACTCACACCATTTATGAAGAATGTCTTTTTACCTGACTGCTGGTTTCTGAGCGGTGTAATACTTTTGGGAAAGCCATGCCTGTAAGTGGTGGTAGAGATATTGGAGTAGAGCTAGTATCTCTCTCCTTAAAAAAAAAAAAGAATAATGTTACAGATCCGTTGATGAAATAATGAAAAACACAACAAACTCTGAGTATCATGTCAAACTAAACATGTTACAAGCAAAGTGGAAAATCTGCTGAACAATATTTGACGCACTGGATGCATTTATACTTGGAGAGATCCAACTGGGGAAATAAGCTACTTTATTTAGTACACAGGCACTTACAATGATCCTGGAGAGAACAGCACTGATGTGAGTGTCATGTCTGTCCAGCCTCTCCTCAGCATCCTCACCCTCAAAAGTGACACGACTCGCTTTAAAGCGGGACTTCTTAGGAGGAGCTGGCGTCAGAGACGGGAGTTGGTCTGGAAGATCTAGAGGAAGCAGAAGAATTGAACATCAGGTTCTCTTGCAGGGCTCAACAATGAGGATTGCCTGCGGGGAAGTAGATTTCTGACTGAAAAGAAACATTAACGTTAAACCCTGGATTTCTGTAATAAGCTTAACTGTATCTGCTGTCACATAAACCTAAAAATATAAGTGTCTAACTGATGTCTGTTTATTACCGTCTTAGCCTCATGTTAAGCTCAAAAAGTAAACACAGTAAACACTCCCAATAATAAAAAGAAAAAAAAAAACAACACATCTTTTTACCTTCTATGGTGACAACGTCCCTCTGTCTTCCTTCATCTTCCCCGTTATGTTCCCCTCCTTCTCCTCCAGCCTCGCCTCTCCTCTTGTCGGGTCTGCGGACCACATTGGCAGCAGACGGGGTGCCGGAGGTCAGGAACCGCTCCTGCTCTCTCAGGAGGTCTGCCTCAGAGTCAGTGGGCTTGGGACGCCGCAACATTCCTCTGAAGGACAAAAAAAGATCATATTAAAACACCACCGTTGTATCTCGTTCTCTCTCTCCCTTTAGCCACAACACTGCTTGATGGACACAAGACTACTGGAGTGAAAAGGATTGTTCAGGGGGGCCCAAGGCTGGTGGCTGCCCACAATATAACCACTACGTCCCTGGTGACAGATAAAGGACTGTACTGAAACTCATTCAAGCTGTCCTCTGGTTCATAGACTAGTGTTGAACTGATAGATAGATCTGGCAGAGACCATCGTAATGTAATAACACGCTGTGACTTCAAAACAATGTCTCACAGGCTTTCAAGTAAAGGCTGAACTTGGTTAGCGTGATCTCAAGGCTAACTAACGCTATCTAGGAGTGTGATAAAGGACAAAAAGCCACACGTGTATACGAATTAACAGAATAAAGCAGCCATATCTAACGTTAACCATAGCTAGCTTTAATACTGCTGTTTTGTTTTCACGTGTATTCAGGTTTACATCCGACATGCACCGGGATGAACATAACTAACGTGCAGTTAGCGTTAGCTTAACGACGGCTTAAAATCTCAAACCTCACTCAGTTGAAGATAAAACCATCCAAGAAAATACAAACTACTACTATCTCTGCAGTGTGGTCGTCCCTGTTGCTTTAAGATACTTGTTTGCAGTTGTGCTAGCTAACCTTCAGTTCAGTTTCAGGATCCGTGATACACAACACTCGGTAGACCACACGGAAGACTTTTGATGTGACACCAAAACCCCACCTTCAAAATAAAAGCTTTGCCAGCACGAAGAAGGAGGACTGGAAGGCGTAGCGACTTTTTTTATCGACTGCATCGCCCTCTTTTTTCCTTAAAATGATTAATTTAGAGGCTTAGACGGCACACACTATTTAGCTGAGTTGTTGGCGAATATCTTAATGCACTGGCGCTGATTTATGTCGAGGGACGGTTTACCTCATCCTTCCGCCCTCATTCAGGACAACGCACCGACATCTGGATAAACACAGTGAAATTGTGTTGTTGTTGTTTTTTTTTTTAATAATATGTGATTTCAGTAGGTGAATGAAACTGTCGTAAACCCGCCACTAACAACAAGCCTCGCTGACTGCACCATGGTTAACCTCTGCTGCCTCTGCTGCGGTGAAATCCCTCAACCCCGCCCCCCTCCGTCCGGGCAGTCGGGACCACCGCGGGATCCCCGCACCGTGCAGCAGCAGCAGCCTGCTGGCTCCGGCCCAGACCCTGTGGGGCTGAAGGGGGAACAAAAAGGGGGAGCAAACGGAGGTAGGAGAGGCAGTCAATAAAAAAAAAAAAGGAAATTGAGCTTATAATCTCTGTCTGACATGCGAAAAGTGCAGCATGCTCTCCTCCGATCTGGACTCTGCGGAGGACGCCGCGGCCAGCGCTCCCAATGATGCTGAGGGAGTGGAGGAGGAGGAGGAGGACTCACCGGCTGAAAGTGATGCCCTGGAAGAGGAGGTAGGTGTGCACTGTCCTATTATCAACTTAAACAAAACTATACTTTTAGAAAAGTATAAAAAAAATAACAGCAATTCTGAAAAATAAACATTCATGCAGTAAGCTCACTCTAAGATTGTTTCCTAAGCTTATTTCATAAAACTATATAAAATAATTTAGATGCTAGATGCTGATTTTAAACGCATGCAATTTGATTTGTGTGCTAGGGGCTCACTGGAAAATAAATCCTGTATTGACATCCTCTCTGTGCCATCACACACTTCCACCTGCAGCCAAACAGCCTCTCTGCTTGCTGAAATGTTTGTCCATTTCACATAGTGGCAGTAGAATCCAGTGATGTGGAAACATACTCTCACTGTCAAAGGCATGCATATTTTTCCAGTTGTTACGCCAGCAAACAATTATTTTTCCAAAGCCGGACCACAGTTTGAAGCATTCATCAGTCCTTTAAGTGTGTGTGCTTGTGTTTGCTCCTGCAGGCGGTGTGTCTTTCACTGGAGTAATTCCTGTGATTCAATATGGGGGACTGGCTGTGTGCAGCCAGCCTTGGATAGACGGGTTGTCTTATTGCCTGCTATGTAACTGCTAAGTACAATTTAGTTTTAAGCAACTTATATCTTTTTTTAAAAACGTCCAATTTATCTTTAAGAGACTTGTTTTAGCTGCTTGAAATCTGTTTAGATATAACCATCCTATCTGAGTCATATTTATTCAACTGGTTTAGCCTTGGCAGGATTTAGAAGAAGTAGGCTATTTCAAAAGATCTTGTTTATTATTAGAGAATAAAAGCATGATCTAGAATAATATCCCATAGTGTTTAGTACAATCTGTAATAGTCTATGATGCCTGCAGTCAGGAGGCCTGGGATACTGAGAAGTCCGTCCTCTCTAGTACACGAGAATTGCATCCCTGTTTGCTCCATAAATAACTGAGGTGGAACCGGCAAAGTGACATCTCCACCCCTGTGTCAGCACAGTAATGGATGGGCTGGTTGTCAACATAAATCCTTTCACTCCATAAAACACCAGAGGTTGTCTACAAGAACACAGGACCCCACAGGGAGGATTGTCGCCACAAGAACAAGAAACTAAGATTTGAAAGTAGCATAAAGTCGTTCAGAAAGTCTTGATGGATCTGACCGACAAGATGGGATCAAATGAATGCGTTAAACTCTCCAAAACTTTCCTCCTTGCAGATGCACACATTAAATGGTTGCAGTGGTTTAATCTCTTTATGCATAAAGGGTTCCGCTCTAGCTCCTTTGACTTTTAGTGTTACTGATGAAATAGCTTTAGGCCAGTGTCTCTGCTGAATGGGACGATTCGACTTGCACTCAGTATTGCAAATGAGAGCACTCTAACCACCCAATACTCACCAAATAAGTGTGTGTGTGTGTGTGTGTGTGTGTGTGTATTAAGCAGTGCTGGGAGAAGTATTCAGATTGTTTTTAGTACAAATAATAATATCACAATTAAAAAATACTGCATTATATGTGAAAATCCACATTCAAAATGTTACTTAAGTAGAAGTAATTAAGTATTATCGCATGTAAAAATACTGTTTATGGAGCAGAAGTGCTCTTGTCAGTGTAATATTATATATATAATAAAACATTATATATATATATATA